TTGACTATTATCTATATTTCTAAGATAATTTTTTATAATATTTTGTTCTAAGGTCTTCTATAATATAATAATTTCTACACTCTTTCACTTATTAGTTATATTATATCACGATATTGTCATATCAATTTGTTGCTACATAAGTATGAATGGATAAAGTATCAATCAAATCATTCCAATCTATGGTTTAATAAATAGAATTACTGATACGAAGTAGTTTACTACTATTAAACTCCCTTCTTTTGATAAATTTCATAGTACTTGGCTATAATAAACTTACATAATTTAAGACTTCAGTACTTAAACCTGCATAATTATAAGTAAGATGCTTCATTCTAATATCATATGTTCTTGCTTCTATTTCATGAATCCTTTATGTACAATCTATTTTAACCTTCATATCTCTTTTGTCAATTTTTTTTTTAATGGTGCTCCACTTTTTTTCAAATAAATCCTTTTATCCTTAAAATAATTTGTCCCTCTTTAATGCATTCATTAAGTCTTCACATTTCTTCCATGAATGATCAATATTATTACACCATATACAACATAAAGCATCCTTTTTTCTAATAAACTTGATTTTTGTCCCAATGATTACTTAATTGAATCATCTATATATTTTTTTATTTTTATTTTTATTTTTTATCCTAAGCTTAGTCAACTTGATCTTCAATTATTAAATATCCTTTAGCAACTCATTTATATTTGAATTTTCAAACTTAGAAGTTGAAGAAGATGGCTTGGGATATGAATGTATTTTTGGAAGCACTACGACTTTTCTATTACTTTGTTTCAATTTTGAGAATCACAACAAGCTCAAAATTCTCAATTATTTTATTCTCTAAAATTCTATTTATTTCCATCTATTTTGTATAAACTTAAGTATACTTTAAAACATCTCATCCATAAAATTTATCGAATTTATCAATAATAGAATATAATATCTTTGTTGCTAAAGCTTCCTTTAGATGTTCAATCTTTTATTGATGCATATACAAATTAAAAGTCTCAAACATTTTCAAAGTACCACAATCAAGTTCAACCAATTATTCACCTTTATTCATTCTATGTTCTATACATACAAATAAATACAATTTTTACCTCAAACTTTTTATACCAAGTTTACCAAAAATATATCAAAAAAAAAATTATTAGTACAAAAAAGCACAAAGCTTCTTGTTTTGGAGATCTTTGTTGCTTAGATTTTTGCCCTTCTTACAAAATTACTAGACTTCCTTTGATTAAGCACATTATTTTTCTTTGATCTAATTGGTTTTCACTATCAAACTTTGCATATAAGAAAATAAACTTATTTTAAATAATTTTGAAAAAGCTTGCTCTAATCAAAGACTACAATCAATCACAATAGACTTTTTTTTAAATCCTAAAATTTTCTTTTTTTATTAACCAAAATAAAAGATACAATAACTATAATAACTATATTTTTGTACTTCTCTTTCCTTCCTTAAGTCACCTTCATACGTCAAAAATATCACCAAGATGACTCTAAGATGAGAATCCACTACATGTGATTTACCTTATCATTATCTTTATCTTTTAAACTTCTCAATTATCAATCTTATGGCCAATCCTCAATTTAGAAATAAACAAATACATAAATTATAATAATAAATAAATACATAAATTAAAATAAGTATATAAATTAAAATAAATACATGAACTAAAATAAGAATTTGAATTAAAACAAAAAAATTACTAACATCAACGTAATTGTATACTTAAGATAGGTACAATATATATAAATTTTTATTATTTATGTATTAAACGGCACACATTAATATAGTGGAAGTAAAGTTGTGCCTTAATGTATTAGAAAAGAAAGAGGCTATGGCATATAATTAGAGTATTATTTATACAAAGGATAAAGATAGTAAAATCAGAGCCTTGAATTAAGTAATAAATATTACTATTAGCCATGGAGTTGATAAAGCCAAAGATAGTAAGGTTAACATTGATCACTTTAAATTATTTGTAAGAAAATTGTATGATTTGTAGAGGATCTTATAAAGGCAATACATAAGCTTAAGGTGTGGTAGAATGATGCCCTTAAAGGCTTGTATGTGTATTTTCTCTTAGGAAAGTCTATTAAAGAATATTATTTTGACATTTATTTGGTATACATATAGATTGAGTTAGACCGCTAGGGCAAGAATAAGTCAAATGGATTGAATGTGCACTACCAAAAAAAAAATTGGTGTAATCCAACCTTGGTATTTGATTGAAGTCATAGACCAAAAATTTGGCTTTGAACTAGACAATCTTATAGGAGCTTTGGAGTTTGATTTTAAACATTCACTTACAAGTAATGAAATAATAGTTTAATAGAAGTATTGTGAATTTTCATGTATTGTTGGCTATATGAAAATTGAATTCTTTTTGAATGACTTCTTTCTATTTGACAACTTTGGAAGAATTAATTGTTTGTTTGTAGGTTGTAGCTTCTACTAGAATATAAGAAGCATTCAATAAGGCATAAAAAAAAGCTAAAAAAGCTATTGGATTTTCTTTTGAAGGTATAATATGGTAGAATCTTAGTTTTCAATTGGATCATATATGAAGGACAAGAACTCAAAGAAAAAATGTAAACAAGTAAGAAATAAATCAAAGAGAGATTACTATATCTTATTTAACAAGAAATTAGAACAACTATTGCCAAAGACTAGAAAACTAGAGACTCTTGAAACTAGATTGGAAGAAAGAAAAAAATTGACAAGAGTGAAAAATGCTTTATTCTTACCTCTATATATACTATCTACTAAAGAGTTATGTAGCAACATTCTATAGGTCCTCCAACACATGTTCAATTTACAAGATACATGTCTTAATTTGCAAGGCAAGTTTCCTATAAGTGTACCATATTGTGAGCTTGTACCACAAACTACCAATACATGTAATACGTGGCTAATTTGTTGGCCAAATTTTTAACCTATCAATCACCTATAGACATGTTTAAAGATAAAACCATATTTATAAAGCTTCTAAGAAGCTTCTCTATAAGATATTGTCAAATTAATCTACTTTTATCTACTTCTACCTATTCATATTATCTAGGTAAGTATAGAGATATCTATGACATTACAAGGTAGGAAAGTATCTTTTGTGATATAAGTTGAGTGCCAACCAGAAGCCAAATTTGCCCTTGAACCTAGATTAGATTCATTTGAGGTATCATTGTAAACATAAGGTGCATTTGAAACGTGTGAGGGAAGAAGGCATAGATATCCAAACAACGCATGACTTCCAATCCCAATCTTAGATTTAAGAAGTATCGTGAGGTAGATAAGAAGCCAACCAAATAGAAAGGATACCACGAAAATGGAAGCAATAATATTTGCAAATTAAAGGCAAGCAAAGGTGCCAAAGTTGACAGCCAATGTGGCCCAAGTAGGGAAGTGGAAAAATTTGCCGAAGCTGGTAGTTATTGGAGCTTGTATAAAAAAATAAGCAAAATTGTCAAAGATGTCAGTTGAAGTAGTCCACATGGTGAGATGGGCAAGTTCACACATCATGAATGGGTTGCCTATGGGACTATAAGAAAAGATGCAAGAAAAGTGTATTAATTTTGAAGATATATAGCAAAGGTAATAGCTTCATCTCAATATTGTTTTACCAATTTTGCTTCATATATGTATTTTAAGTTATAAATATAGAATTGAAAAAATAAAAAGATTAAATTATTTTTAATATTCACATTTACATCCTGAAAATCCAAAAACTAAAATTTTAATTTTTGATTTGAATTGGTATTTACAATCTTAACTTATGAAATAGTACTTATATCACTACAATACATACATTTTTTATTCAATCATATATTTAAATTTATATTCTTTTTATTATTTTTTTTATTTAATATTATTTTATGGATTGACTAACTTAAGAAGATCCTTCCACCTTAATCATGTTACAACATTTTGAAACATTCAGAAAAGATTTATCTAAAAATCAATAATATTACAAATATCCAATATCCAACATCAAAAAAATAAAAAATCTAAATCTATTCACATTTTTTACAATATACAAATGATTTGAAATTAAAAGAAGTTATTTTGTTTAATTATAACCATTGTAACATGCAATATATTGTGCCTAAAATCCTCCATTGATCAAAGAATACAATTTTTTAAGGCTTTTCTCTATCTTGTATTTTTTTTCTCTTTTGAACTACTTTGATTTATATTCTTTTGTGCGAACAACTTGAACAAGTATACTAAAAATAATAAGTATTTTTTTTGTATTTTTTTAAGCACATTTTTTTGTTGTTATTAGAAATATATGTTTTTATTTTGTTCTAATATGTTTAGTAATTTTATTGAATTTAGTGGCATATAGCTCAAAGATGATAGGATCTATCTAGTAGAAGGTAGCCCAGGGACAAACCTTTAGTTTTTTTTTCATTTATAAGGATTTTTATATAAGAAAAACAAATAAGGCATTTGTAGTTTTTTTTTATTATTATTATTGTATACTTTTAAGCTTTATGTATCTGGTATTTCCTTGAATTTCATGTTTTATTTACTGAAATATGGTTATTTTCAACCTTGTAGATAATCTTGTATTCTTCACATTCTTACATGTCTACAACCATAAAAAAAGATCTATACAATATACGTGTTAGCTGAATTTTCTAACGATACTGCCCATAATACGTCCCCCAACTCTGACAGACAAATATCTGTCGTTGAATTCCACCTTGATGAGCAGCAATGTAACAGCTGTGTAACATTCCAAATTTCCTCTACCATGGGACTTTCTCATCTCAGAATAAATTTGCGAAAAAGCATTTGGGCTCATTTGCAGATTTGTTCACAAGATTTTGAACTTCTTAGTATTCATTGTCAATCAAAAAGGTAGTCATGTTTTAGATTGCTAGCAGGCTTGATACACTATTTTACCTGACAACTCAACTACAAACATCTCTCGCTAACTTGTGTTTTTCTCATGCAAAATAATTTCACACTTCATGGCAAATGAACAGCTATTCAGGAAATAAGTGGAGGATGCTTTCACTCCGGATCCCCTAATTGATAAGTGAGCAGAATTTTGAGGCGAAACCATGCGCCTCTTGGCTCACAAAATTAAGATTCCGTTGTCACAGTCGGTGGCTTGGTTTCGACATGTGTCACCAACCAACGAGATTGAGACTAGATTCTTCGTTTCCACCAGGTGACGGCAACCTAGACTAAAGTAGCTGACAAGAGAAAAATCGTAGAGGAGGATGTAACAAAAATAACTTTATTCCAGGTTTCTAAATGTATTCCTGGAATAAATGGCTTGTTCGTGAACTACTTCTTGGTTTGGAGCTGTCATTTGACATCGACTTCCCCGACACCTAAGTCTTGCAAGTTGAGAAGCAAGGAATCAGCACTCAAAAATACGCGGTTCTGAGAGGTGGCAATTGTGTTCGCAATTTCCCGGCTGGCCTCGATCTTGCGCAAAGTGATAAAAGCTGGGTTATTCGAAATGGCCTCACCAATAAGCTGGGCACTCTTTGCCTCTCCCTGAGGTACACACGAAAACAAAAATTTCGACCTTTTCAGCACTTGATGATGCTGCTCAGTTCGAATGCACACAAACCAAACGACAGACACAAATGCGAAATTCAACAGTTTCAGTAACGTTATTAACCACAGCTGAAACAATAGAAATGGCTAAAGCACCTGAGCACGAATGATAGCACTTCTTTTGTCCTGCTCTGCTTTCTCCACCACAAACTTGGCTCTCTCCGCGTCCTGAGCAGCAACTTGCTTGGCCTCAATAGCAGCCGTGAACTCCCGCCCAAAAGTCAAATTGGTGATAGACACATCATCTAAAGCAATATTGAAGCTCAGAGCACGCTCCTGCAAAATTCTCCGAATCTCCCTGCTGACCACCTGACAAACTCAACCCAATTGACATTCTGTCAACATCAAAATCTGGTCCAAGGTTTCATCAGTTGCAATTTAGCAAGAAGGGCGGGACCTTTTGGATAGAGATGATGATCTAGGACAATATCCAGAATTAAAACTACAAGGAAAAGAGGGGAAAGAATACCAAAGACACAAATCTTCAGTGGTTCTCGTAAACCCGAGCCACTCTTACTAATAGCTCAACAATAAATTCTTCAAGGAGAAGATTTCAATGAAGTCTACCTCACGTTGCGTGATAAGTTGGCTAGCGTTATATTGAGCAACAACTGCTTTCAAAGTTTCCTGGACGATTGAAGGTAACACTCTTTCAGCATAGTCCTGCCCGAGGGAGCGATATATCGTTGGCAGTTGGTCAGCCATCGGCCGTGTCAACACTCGTAGCGAAATCCGGACCTACAAACCAAGAAACAGAAAAGTGAGTTCAATAACACCATACCCCTCGCAAATTGCACCATACGTTCTTAAGCCCGTTTCCTGCAAACAACGGGCAATTCCGAAAGTCTCCACTTCTTAGCATATATTTCTAATAAAAATTTGCCAGCAAACATCAATCACGATATCAACATCTCAATTACCATCTGAAGATCCCTACTTCCTGAGGTGCTCTCAACGATATTAGGTCGTGCTCGGACATCGTAGATGACAGGCCTGTCGAACCAGGGAATCATGAAATGCGTACCCTCGGGATAAACCTGCAAGCCACCATTCCTAACAGCCATCAAAACCCCGTCCAGACACACCCAAATTCCTAGCCAGCAAAAATTCAAACTGGACCTAGACTGAAACCAAGCGAAAAAAAACAAAAAAAAAAAAAAAAAAAAAAAAAGCACCGATTTCGACCACTGTACCTTATCCTTGACTCCAACAATGCGATTGAATACAATAGCACGGTGCCCACCCTCAACATTATACAAGGAATTCATAGCTCCATACAATCCGAGGCCACCGATGACCGCAATCTTGGCCAGGGCTCCAGCGGGCCCAGCGTTAGGCAACTTGACATTACGCATGTTGTTGAGATTCATGGTTGGTTGCGACTCTCCAGCTGCTCTCGGATCAGAAATCGACCTCGGATCACGAGGAAGTGAGGGAGAGACAATTCTCGGAGCTTAGCGAGGCGAGCAACAGAATGCGAGAGCAAATGGCGATTTAGGGTTTGGGTCCCAGAGAAAGCTTGAACCCTAAGGCAGGGTATCCGCCGGTGTGAACGGGACCCCGTGCCCAGCAACTTTCCGTTGCGGCTTGCTCTGGAAACTTCCTAACTCCTGGAGATTTATCCTTTCACTTCTGTTCTGGATAGAATAAACCTCGAACCGAGAAAGATTTCGGTCCTTGTCTTTTACTTTCTTACTTACTTTTTTTTGTTGATTCTGAAGCATGTCTTACCTCTATATGACATTCTTGGACATACACTCTACGATTTATTTTTTGTTACTTTAGAATCTAAACTATATTGGGTAGGTTGGAAAAAGTCATTGGAATTTTGCATTGAAGGTGAAATGAAGGAAACTATGTGTAGTTCTTTTGAAAATAAAAAATAACACAAATATATATTTTGAATTTTGAATTATGATATTTTGCTTCAATTCATTTAATTTAGTTATTTGTATGTTACTATGAAATGCTCATTTTTTAGAATGTATATTTGTGTTTTATTTTTGGTATACTTTGAGACTTAATAAGAAATTATTTAGACTTTGAAATAAAATTTACGTGATTATGTGTCACGAATATACATAGGCACTTTAGTAAACACCTATATGATTAGGTAAAATAATTAAAAATACATAAAAGTAGGTTAATTTCAAAATATCTTCTAGAGAAGCTTCCTAAAAGCTTTATAGATGCTCCTTTGAGTTTACATGTGTTTATAGTTGATTGGTAGATTAGAAACTTAGTTAATAAGTTAACCACGTGTTGATAGCTTGCAGAACAAGCTAACTATGTGGCGCACATATAAGAAACTTATTTTGAAAGTTAAGATACGTGTCTTACAAAGTCAACATGTTTTAGAGGTCACATAGGAAATTGCCACATAGCTCCTAGTTAAGAGTATATATGGATGCAAGAATGAAGCCTTCTTCACTCTTGTCAATGCCTTTCTAGTTCTTCAACTTGTTTCAAGATTTTTTTAGTCTTCTTGTTTGTAGCAATAGCTATTTTAGTTCAATAATATATAATCTTTGAGTGACTTAATGGTCCTTTTCAGTGTCACAAGAATATATTGAGGATTTCTTTCTTCAAGATTCATGTCTTTGACAATTTGACAAGAGTGTTAACTTATTGTTTCTATCTTGTTTTAGAAGTGAGTAGATTAACCTAATTCTATTGTTGTATTTTGAAGGTTGTGGACTATCCATCTTTAAACAAATAATCTTGTTTTCTAACACTGATTTTTTTCTTAAAAAGAATGGATTATCCCTCTTTAAAAAAAAATTCATTTGATATTAAAGGTTGTCAATTATTCTCTTCTAGTTTAACTTTTTGAACTTATTTGAGTTGTCTATAGAAGGAAAGATTATGGATGCCACTCTCAACGGAAGTGAAAATAGATTTGCAACTATTGTAGATCTTCATGAGCTTGTCAAAACTTTAAGAGTAGAAATCTCACATATTTTTAATATGAATCATAGAGGTACTATTCCTATACCTATAGAAGAAGTTTAGAGTCTGTGGCAAGAAGTTGTGCAACTGAAAGAAACAAAAAGATTGACCTCACAACCAAATCAAAGGAGTTTTGCTTCTACAAGTATGACAAGAACAAGGATTAGTATGCTTGAGAAGTTTGATGGAACGAGATCAAAATTTCAAGGATTTCTGCAATGAATCAAGCTCTATTTAAGGTTGCATCCCATCTAATACCTCAATGGATTTACTCAACTCAGATTCATAGGTGCACTTCTATTAGGAAGTGATCTCTCTTCGTTTGTATATTTAATAGAAAATAATTTGCAACTTCTTTATAATTTGAATTCATTTTTAGAAGTATTTACGACCACATTTGGAGAAAGTAATAAAGAAAGAATAGCATAGACTAAGCTCTTATCTTTAAGGCAAGGATCACGATTAGCCACCATATATGCTACTGAATTCCAAAACCTAGATTGCGATGTAGACTGGAATGACAAAGCCCTTATTAATCAATTTTGATATAGGTTGAATGATAATATTAAAGATTTGATATTGACAATGCCAAAGGCAAAATCTTTGGAACAATTTATTACTCAAGCCATTGGATGCAACAATAAATTATTTGAAAGATGTCAAGAATAAAGACTTGACTAAAGAGGAATAAATCAAATAATGAGGGCAGCTCCAAAGTTTTCAAACAAACATTCATCAAGGCTAGAACCAATGCAAATTGATAAGATACATTTTAAATCCCTCATGGAGTAGGAAGAGAGTCAACAATGTTAAGAAGACTTATGCTTATATTGTGGAGAAGCTAAACTACTACTTAGTATTGTCCAAAGAAACAACAAAACTACAAAATGAGAAGCATCTTTGCCAAAGAAGAAGATATATTAAAAAACAAGTTTTTCCATCTACAATAAAGATTGTATAGTTGAAATCTTGTATAACTCCTAGTAAAGGTTGTGAATATTACAATTAACTCACTTATGTAGTTCGTACAAAAATAATACTTATAGTGCTTGAAATCACCAATCTAATGAATTAAAATAGGAATTTTGAGATAAATAGTAAAAATAGGATTTTAATACAAAACTAGGTTTCTAGTAGGATTTCTTTGAGAAAGAATTTTAAAATAAATAGTTATTCCTTAAATTAGCTAGTATAGAATTGTGATATTTTTATATAGTAGAATTTGTCATTAAATGGATGATTAGGCTAGGAGCTAAATATGAATTAATTTAGTCAATTATAAAAGAATTAAAAATAAATAAATAAATAAATAAATAAGAAAAAAAAAGAAGAAAAAAAAAGATGATAAAGAAGGAAGGACAAAAAAACAAAAAAAAAAAAAAAAAAAATCTCATTTATCCAAAATTTGCAGAATAAGGATGAGATCTCAAACTTTCAGAAGAAAAAAGCTAGAATCTGGCAAAGGGCATCCGAAGCCTCAATTTTTTCTCTCTCTTGTTTTTTTTTGTTTTTATTTTTGCATACCTTCACAAGCTTTGGGTGCTTCAAAATATATTTTTTTTTTGTTTTCTTTTGCATTATAGAAGTGTTGCAACTACAATGCATAGTTTTTTTGGATTTTTTTTTCACCCACAAAGGAGAGATTTACAATGGTTATTATTCCTTCTTATGATTGTGAGGATGGTGGTATCGTCTAGCTGAGCGACATTGGATGTTGAGACTATTGTGGCTAGAATTGTTGTTTGTATCGTTCAGTTTGGAATAGTACAGTTGGAATAGTTGGAGTATTATTTTCTGTAGTAGCATTCTTGGATTTTTATATTTCTCTGTATTGAGGTAGTTTTGCCTTGAAGTGTGTCATTGTCAAATCTGTCGTGCTAATTCCATGTTTGACAAGGGATTTTTTTTTTATTCAAAATTGTAATTGACAACAGGTCATAGCATGCTCTCAATTACATTATTGTAAGTATGCTTGTATAATGGTGGTGGTAGTTTTTACTCCATTGAGTAGTAGAAGGGTCATGTGGTGGTGACGACATTATTGTCATTGATGTAGTCAAGCCTAAGAGCATGGGTACAACATTCAAGGAATTGATGTCTTAATAATCCTTATCAAGAGTGTCTTTAAGCCGAAACTTGGATTTGGTCCTACTCAAGGAGTGGAAGATTTGTAGTACAATGAGAGCTCAAGGAGCAGATCAACCATAAACAATGCAACTAGTTAATTTTTTGGATGAACAAGAGAGAGGCAATAAAGGTGGAGTTATGAAGATTTGAGTTAGAAAAGTGGTGTTCAATAGGCATGGTTCCAAACTTGGCATCCACAAGTTGGGTGGTTGCATATTAGAGCATTGGTGGTAAAATCTAGTTGATCTAACAAGAGGTGGTCTAAAACAATTTGTTGTAGATATTAGCAATTTTGCAAGGATAGGTTCGATCTCTAATAAGATCAATCTTTATTAGTGTGGTTACAGTCCCACTTCAACACTCTCCTTATAGGTGCCAAAATAATTAGCTTTAAGCACTAGGATTCTAATAAGAAATTTTCTTATAAAACGGTCACTAATTTGAATTTTAAAACTACATAGTTCTAAAGATTTGGCAACGCTCGTAGTCAAGAGAAGAAGGGAGTTTTGAGTCATAATATATAGCTCAGATGTAGAATTAGTGCCTGATTTTGAGACTTAGAATGTAGTTCTTAGGTATGAATAGATTTCGCTTGCTATTAGAATCTAGATGAGTGATTGCAGCTCTACAGATTGTGCACAAGTATGTGGTGAGAAGTACTAGGCAATATGTGAAGAGAGTAGTGGTTAGAACAATAATAGCAGAGACTGAGAGCACATAATTGACCTCTCTATATATGGGGGGGGATAAACATGCAAAGATGAAGAGTAGTGGATTTTTGTTTGACACTTGTTTTTGTCAAGTTTTTATTTAAGAAACTTATTTTATCAATTTAGTGAGTTTTTTATGAATAAAGCTGATATAAAGAGTTGCTATACTACAACAACTAGAGAAAGAACATACAGAACAAATACAAATTCAACTCGGAGCAATTACAAGAATATTTTTATATACAACAAACTGAGCCTTGGTTGAGTTCCAACTTGAAAGATCCATCGTCAACAAGTTCGTGGCCAAGGATTTTGGAGCATAGTCACAAAGAGCATCTTAGATTTAGACGCATTGAAGGAAAGGTTGCTAGCCAATGGATCTCTATTGGGAGAATTACATTGACAACATTCAAACCAAAGAATTATGAGTTCCATGTTGTGTTATAACATCTCTTAGTTTAGTATTGTTGGATTCTTCTGTGAGAATTAGAACCAATTCAATGAATAAATAGACACAATTAATTAGTATTAAAAGTGACTGAAAGAGAATTTATAAATTAGAGTAAACTAAGTGAATTAGATTAATTTTAGATAAGTTGTGGATAAAAAGTTATTTTGGAATGAATATTCATCCATAGATGAGAAATAAATTGTGGACGAAAAATTCTATGGATGAACTTTAATTTGGAGGATTTTATTTTTATAAGATAAAA